TTATTATTATAATTTAATTTAGGTTCAATAACGAAGTAATTTATATTTGGTTTAAAAATAATAATTAATTATTTTGTGATAACTCGATAATTATCCTAATTATATTTTAATTTTTTTATATTTTAAAATAGAATGTTTATTCTCTATTTGATTATGTTTATCCGCAGTTAGTTACACAAATTCAAATATGAAGCTTTAATAAGTTGTATTTATGCATAATTTACTTGTAATCTTGAATTTTAAGTAATATGCATCAATATACAGTACTTCATGCATAAAAAAATGATTTTTAAGAGTTTTTATCAAATGCTTTATAATTTAGTATAGATACATTATTTTTCTATTTATTTATAATGTAATTTTTATTTTTAATTGAATTTTCATTTTATAAAATAAAACAATTTAATTTGTAATTAATAATTAAATTATTATGTTACTGAAATAATAAAAAAATAAACCAACTTATTAATCATCAAGTATTGCTTAATAATACATAATCTTTTTATCTATACTATATATAAAACATTTGATAAAAACTCTTAAAAACATTCTTTATGCATAAAGTATTGTTTATTAATGCATATTACTTAAAATTTAAGACTATAAATAAATTGTGTGTACGTACAACTTATTAAAGCTCCATTTTTTTATTCGTATAACTAACCGCAGAAAAACATAATTAAATACAAGATAAACATCTCATTTTTAATATAAAAAATCTAAAATATAATTAGGACAATTATTGAATTCTAACAGAATCATTATCTTTATAAAAATTATATCGTTAAGCCAAAAATAAATTATTTCACTATTAGATCAAAATTAAATTATAATAAAAATTGAATTAAAGAAATTATACAAAAAATAACTTTTAAATAATTAATTTGATATTAATATCAATATTATTTTTTTCAAAATTTTATGATATCTTCGAATTTATTTTTATTCAAAAGTAAAAACATTATCTTTATCAAAACCACATAAACCATATTATATATCAGCAAAAACAAAGATAAAACGAAACATTAAAATGAAAATGTATTCCGCTGCATTGCACGAATACCCTTCTAAATATACTTCATGATCATAAAACTTTTTGAGTTCATAAAACTAACCAATAAAAAAACAAATAATCATTGAACCGTACGACAAAATACTCCAATATATTTCATGATTATCTTTGGAGTAAATTACATGAATCGTCCTTGTGCTTTGGGCGAACTCCAGATATTGTCATTTCTTGCCAAAAATTACACAAATACGTCCAACATATTGAATTACTTTCATTGATGGTATTATAACGTCCATATATGAAATCAGGGGCATTTTGGTCAATTCGTGATTTTACATAAAGTGTTAAAAGAACAATTGAGATTCCACATCTCGGTTAATCCATGATCGGAGTTACTCATGGTGAAGGCCCGGACCCAACCTGATCTATCAGTGGCTCCAACGTCCGAGAATGGCCAACGCCTGAAGCTGCTTGTCCTTTTTCCCGATACGTCGCCCAAGTCACGATATATAACCCCATTATGATCAAAAATCCTCCTAAAATGCTGTTCACAAATGCAAAGTTAATAATCAAATACAAATATGATAGTTTCACCGAGCTTTGGAAGGCCCGACAATATTTCACGGTCCTAACTAGTCCCTCCCAAAGCAGGGATGGTCAAAATGAATGACAATTTGTTGGCCCCAAATCCCCTCCCTGTCCATCAATCATGTGAAGTCACATCATCCATTTATTGAGAAAAGAGAATTAAAAGATCATATAAATATTTTATATTAAAAAAATAACCGCGTGGCTTGACGCGATTGGTGGGACAGGAAGCACAGGGGATTTGAATACAACATATCATATTTTTATTCGGTCAAATTGGTCTATTGGTTGAGGTTCTTTTCCTTACTTTGGATATATTACTTGTCATTGTTTCTATTTGTATTGTATTTTTTTATTGCATACACTAATTCGACTTTTCAGAATTTATCTTCTTTGTCTCTCTTTTTCACACACTTTTTACAACCCTAGGATTTTCATCGAAACATCTACTCTATGCTTTTGAGTAGAGGTCAGGTCTGCGTACATCATACCCTCAACCTGGAAATACTGGGTTCATGTGGTTTTTTATGTTCATTTCTCCTAGAAGAGCCAAACCTATGGAAAAATAAACACAGTCGTTTTCAAGGTGATCTTTTAAACTATCATATTTAGTGTTTTTGGTAAATAAACCACGTTCTTGTGTGACAATGCAAAAAAACCATTGCAGTTTGCAACATCAAGTAATTTTGGACAAATAGTGTCGAATACGATGGTTATTTTTTCATTTACATTTCCACAATTTGTCCAAAGTACAGAGTTATTTCCGTATTTTCACAAGAAACCAAGTCCAACAGTTGGAAAACTAACCACTCGGAAATGTCTAACCATTTGCATAGTGACAAGATCGACTAGCAATAAAACGCGGAGGCTGAAGAACATACCTTCCCAAATATATTGGGCTTCCAAGAAAAATTCTTGATAAAATAGCAGATGCAGCAGGTTGAAGTGGCATGTAAAGAGCAACCAAAGCAGGTCCCAGGATATTGTTGCCCCATGTTAAAAGTCCATAGTTCAATGCAGATGCAACAATTCCCTGAAAGAAACCGTAAAAAGCTTTAATAATTAAACCACACAAACCCAATAAATCCTAGACAGAGTCATGGTCTGGGGACGGTAAGATGTGATCAGACCCCCTACCTGTAACACCAAAAATTAGAAGAAAACAAGAGAGCAGGTCACAGGTGAGAGTGTGTGTAATCAAGGAACAGATCATGTAAATCATATATAATTTGCTATTGGATAGTCTGGAGTTTGTGATGCGAAGAGTCCAGGAAACAAGTAACAAAATGTCACATGGACGCATAGAAACATAAGCATGTGGAGATGAAGAGGTGAAGGTGTAATGCATGCACAAAGGAACTGTTGAAGTATGCTCATTAACAATGTTGAGTTTTCAGAGTTGTAACGTGGGTATATATGTGCAAATGTTCTTAATGATATGAATATGTTTTGGAGGGAGAAGATTTACATACACACACACACACACACACACACATATATATATATATATATATATATATATATTAATCTTGACTTGGCACTTATGTTTTTATGAAAGTTTTATGTTTCCCAAAAATTGTGAAAATTGATTGATAAAGAAATATTTCAGTTATTGATCGGTGGTTGAAGGTGCTGTTCAGTGTTTCAGCAGCTGATGCTGATGTTGTGGCTGGTGCTACTGATGCTCCTTCAGCTGATGACAGTTATTTTGGCAGAAAATTAATTGTTGGTAGTTTTTAGCACCAAAATCAGTTAAAGTTGCACCTTATATTACACTTCTATATCAAGTTGTAAGATATCTTATTGATTTATATTCTCTCAAACTTCAAGATTAAGTAGAGAGTTCTATGTACACTCCATAAAACTCTATCTTGGGGTGATCCCGAAATGACAGAGTTCTAGTGGGGGAATAATTCTTTAAGGATAGTGATTTTCACATCCTCAAAATTATTGTTATTCATATTATATGAAGTTGGTCACATAATGGCAGATAGGATAATATATGAAGATAAAGGTTCGGGTGGCACAGGTTGAGGAGCATGAAACACCCCTTGGGATGGTTAGAGCATCTCCATCATATACCTTTCAGTTTACTGGTTAGAAAGGGAGAGAATTTCATTAAAAGAGGTAGAGGTCGACCAAACATAATATTCGTTTGAGTAAAATATACAAAAGGAGTTGGCCTAGACGGGATTGCTGGGGAGGACACTATTCATGTTTGGTATGCATATGAGATTACACAAGACTGGACTGGATGGGCAATAGTGAGGTAGGCGAATTGTGCAAGGTTTTAATTTGACATGGGTAAAAATGCATTTTTTTTTGTTTTGTCCTGCGTACCAAACGCATCCTTGGGTTCCTTTTTAGCTGACCCAACTAAGAATTGTTGATGTGAATGTCGGAAATACAATCCCAAACCTTCTAATCATGAACTTCCTTCCATAGTCCATCTTGACTAAATAATAACTAGAACAAACCATCATGCATACTCCATACTGGTCCTAGAATGCACACATAACAAACCAATACTTAATGTAGAGAATATAAGTCATTGTAACGTAGATAAGTAGAAGTATAAACCAAACTAAACAAGCCCATTATATTCCACCGAAGGTGGAGTCTAGGGAAGGTGGGAAGTACGCAGTAACCTCTACCCAGGAGAGTAGAGAGGCCGTTTCCATGAAGACCCCTGGCTTGAGCGAAAGCTCAAATAATGCGCAACAATAGAACATAAGAACTCAAAAATAGAAAGGCAGTGCTAAAAAATGAAAAACGACTCAGAATAAGCAACACCATTCAGCAACCAGACAAACAAGCAAACAAAAGCAGGTACAAGAAAACATAACCACAGTAGGAAGAACTAGACACTCTAGCCTAACCTAGGACTCATGAGATCTAACTGCCGGCACATTAACCCCACACCCCATCCTCTATATCTCAAGATCCCTTCCTACATATTCCCACCCCTAGTCTGCTACCCTAATTTTACGTCTCCAAGAACCCCTATTAAAGGTCATGTCCTTAGAAATGCCTAAAGCCGCCATGTCTAACCTCAACTACTCATCCCAAGTCCTCCTTGGCATACCCCTCCTCACACCCTCGACCCTCACACTTTCTACCTTCCTCACTGGGTCCTCAACTGTCTCCTAGGCATGTAATCAAACCACCACAATCTTCCCTTCCTGAACTTATGATAATATGAAACTTTAACACATCATAGGCAACATTACATCAAAATTTTAAAATAGACAAGAATAGAACTGGTCACTTAAATAAGAGGTTTATGATACCCGACCATCAGCTATGCTTATTATTATAGGCTACCAGAAATTTTAGTGGATACAACCTAACTTTGAGATAAAATCAGAGAACTGCATCAAAGAACACTTGGATACTATTAAATTTAGAGAAGATTTCAACAATTAATATGAGATGAAGCGAAGCAGATTGACCAGATAAGAAAGTTTTATATATCACTGAACTTCCAATAATTAAACCTAGACGTCAAATCTTAAAATCAGCAACAAATGTTATATAAAACAATGGTTGTACATATCTTTTACTAAGCACAGCAAAACATATCATACTTTGTTCCCCCAAGAATTAAACTAGCACACAATGCATTTCAAACGTCCATGAATCATATCAAACTCAGCTGGCTTAGAAGGAAGACATGTATAAGCTGCAAAGTTGCATTCATCACAAATGACGAGGAAAAAGATGCTTACTGAATAAAGTACTGCCAAAACCTCAGACTGCGTCAAATTCCAGTTTGTTGACTCGTTGCTCACGGAAACTGCTGTTGCTACCATAAAGAGAGTACCAAAAAAGTACGAATATGCTGTAACGGATAGGTTTGCAGAATACGTGGCCAACATGGGAGCCTGAAGATTTCAATGCACCAATCAAACTTCAATCATTCAAAAAGTAGATAATTTAGTACAAAAATCTTGTACAAAAAAATTAATAGGAAAAACAGTATGTGACTGATCACATGAAGTTCATAGGTTGCTTTGAGAAAGTTAGGAAATGCAATGTCAAGAGTGCATAAAATCTAAAAGACACTAGATTGTGCATGCAACTTAGGCCAACTTAAAACATAAAAATCTGGTTGGTTTATATAAACCTTTTTAAAGAAGTCGTTGAGAAGTCTTCATGCAATTCATCTGTATTTATCAAAGGTGTTGCCTGATCAAACTATGCCTTTTACAAATTGCAGAGCTGGTGTTTCTCCTAGAATATTTTATGCATATGTATGACTCTCTCTTATATATGCCAGCTGCAAAGAGGAACTATAGATGACCTTAAAAATTACAATTACTGATCGGCTGTCTCATCAATTTTACAATGCCTAGACCCAAGGGATCATTACTTCCATTTCCACATATCTCATGTAGTTAACAGAAAACATAACCAATCACCACCACATCTTGCAAATGTCTTCGAGCTATTACAAGTTTATTAAACATCAAACTTCAAAAAGATTCTATTATAAGGCAACCAAAGTAACATAGCATGCACTTGCATGCTGTGACAATGGTTATTAAAAAGCAGAGGGTCATTTACCTAGCTTATGAAAGCAGAGGGCCTTTAACCTAGTTAATATTGGTGTTCTGATATGCAGTTACCACACCACACGTAGCTTGTTACTAATAGTTTTCTAACTCAGCTGTATGATTTAACCTTCCCAACAACTTGTTAAAGGGTCAAACTTTTAATGGTGTCAAATATGATGAATGCAATAGCACATTTAGTTGAATTTGGTAGGAAAAAAATGTTGCTCACCAGAAATGATATTTTTGTATGTTTATTCAAATATATGATTGAATACCTGAATAGCTAGATAGGCTGCCATGCACATGCAATTCCCTATTAAGCACAGGACACCAAGGTGCCAGTTATCAATCCCGAAGCCCACAAAACTAGAGAACATCCATCCAGCAGGCTCTCGTTGACCACTTGCCACAGGTAAATTGTCTGCATACCCCAAAAGAGCCGGTCCTCGGAACAGAACTATTAAGATGGCACCAGAAACACAGACAAGTGTGCCTCCAACCTTTGCCAGACCTTCAGTCTTGAGCACATTCACTGTTTCTATACTGCATGAACATCATCTCATATGAAGTTGACATATAAACTTGCTGGAGGTACCACCCTCCTTCCATGAAGTATACATATAAAGGTGCTTATGAAATCACGCGTATTGTTCTGGCCAGTGTTACCGAACATGCAGCTCACAAATGGGTACTGCTGCATTGTATGCATGGTTACTAGTGTAGTTGTGGGGAAATTTCATTTGTTAGGCTAATTGGGTACGTGATACATTAAATATTAAGGGATGATATGTTAAAGAGATCATACATAAACATATATGCATGTAAATACATGTATACACATATGTTGTATTTATTTATACACACACATGCATGTTATTCAGATAAACAATTTTTTTAACACAGAATTTAAAAAAATTAAGAAGGATAGGATATTTAAATTTACATATGTATATGTTGGATTTAAATCAGATTTCGGATCAATCTATACTGATTGACTGCCTCCATTATGTTGTTGCTAGCAAATACCACTATTTTTGGTTTTGGCTCTTCCAAATCATTCCCGCAGGAGATCCGGACCCTTTTTTTTCTGATCCTTCGATAAAAGGATTCATTCTCTTCATAAAAAATAGGAAGTAGAACCAATAAAACCAATAAAGATGTCGTTTTCCATTCATACCTGGAGTTGAATACCCCATTCAAGAATTGTTTTGGATTCAATCCATAGGAATCAATAGCCTGCAGCATATGTGTAGCATCTACTTAAATGTTCTTATCAATATGTATTAAGATGGATAGGAGATTTGAATCTCTTTCTGTCCAAGGAAAGTATGTGTCAATATTTAGAAATGCTACATGTGAAATAAATTATGGAACAATAAAATATGTGGCTGCAATTCTTTTCAGAACAAAAAAGGGAAAAGGATATTAAGAGGAAATATGTCACCTCTCTCCCATGAGGAACAAATGCCTAACAAATTTGAAGGTCCCAACTAAAGATGAATCCCGCAGTCATTTATTCTAAATTTCTATTAGAATTTTGCCATACAGTGTGTCCAGGTTTGGTTTAACCCTTTTTCTCCTTCTCCACTATGCTTCGTTCAATAGGATCGATTCAAGCAATTGTTTGGTGTACAAAATGTTATGACAATCGATACAATAATGTAAAACAAACAAATAATCTATGAAACTTGTGCAACAAAATCTATTAAACAATTTTTCGATGATAAATTTTGAATTGAATGATGATAGAACAGATAGAGGCCTATGTTTGCAGTGTCCTAAGACGAAATTTCGTCCCCAATTGTGCTTGGTTCCGGACATCGTCTAGAGGGTACAACTATCCGATTGAATTGTGGCACATAAATTCAATCCCATCGAATTGATATATGTTCTTGAGTAAGCAAGGTAAAAATGGAGAGAATATGGAAGGAAATTCGTGTTCTGAAAATGCAGGGAAGGAAAGGTATTTATACCTTTGCACAATAGAGCCCAAGAGCCCCAAAGGCCCAAGGCCCAATCTTTTGACCATAAATATTTATCATGCCCTCACTAAAGCCTAATACAAACCCATTACTTGGGCTTCTCTCCTTTGATAAATAATGTGGATTTAGGCTTATAAACCGGCAAAAGTTGTAAAGGTTTTCCTATGTGGGACTAGCTACTAGTCTAATACACAACACAAAAACACCATGATTTGGATCGAAAGATCTGGATTGTGGTGAAGTTGTACTAGGAATGAATAAGTTAACACTGGTTCTCAGTGCATATATACATCTCAAATCTACAGAATGATTAACATTAACGAAAAGTCCAAGTGAAAAAGAAAATTCAGTTGAGCCTACCCCATCATTGCAGCAAGTATAAATGTGAAGACGGGAATTGAAGGTTGAACGGCTGCAGCATATGTTGGATTTGTGTAGCCAAGACCAACAAGAAACAAAAGTTGGTTCCCAAATATCCTAAACAAGGTCAAGATAAAAAAAATTATAAGTAGAACAAAAGGCATACCTGGGACCAAAATTTAAGTATTTTAAGCGTCATCTTGGTAGTAAGTTCTTCTTTCGCATGCTAAATAAACCTCACAAATTACCCATTTAAAACAATTCAACCCATTTCACCCATCATTTTCAATGTGAGTCAATGGGCCGATTACTTTAAAAAAGACTATTTTTATTATGGATCAAACCAGTCATAAATTTTATGATTCATTGTATCATAACATTTTTATTTACTCATCTGTTACATCTCTTTCCTCCACGGCTCCACCTATTCTGTGTGCACACTATCCCAATCCTTGCCAACACTCTCTACTATTTGACGCATTTTCCCTGGGAAATTGGTATACTTTTTTCTGTTTTAGATCATTTCATGCTCGACATAGTGTGAAATATTGAGAAGTGTTCTTAACATGTATGATTAATAATCTTGTTATAACTTGAGAGAGGGTAGTAAGTAAAGTTGGGTCTGTTACTTTCAATCACTAACTTTTACTAATGATCTGTAAAATTGAGAAGTGTTCTTAACGAAAATCAAATGTGATTTGACTCCCAACTGCTTCCCACTATGAATTAAATCCAGTTCTTTGCCTTATATTTCTGAAAATTTTGGTAGTTTTAGCTATTTAGATGATCATCAATCCACGATTCGATCGTCCAGTTAGTAGTTGTTGCAACTATTGTGGTACTTAATCTCTTAGTTCCTTACATTCGATACCTGTGCTTGTCACGTATTACTTGATTCGACACCGTACACTTGCAGCTAAAAAGTAAGTGTGCTAAAATCCTTATCAGGCCGATTAGTGTTGTGACCCATCAACTAATTCGATCCAACAAGACCATTTTGCCACCTCTAATGATAAATCTAATTATCAGGGGGAGGATCACAAACAAGTATGAATGCCAACTTTGGATATTAGACTTACCCAGTCAACCCAAGAAAAAAGAAATACATAAGAAGGCGCCTGGTCATAGCTGGTCTGGTTGTCCTACAAACAACAAAAAACATATCAACTTTAGTTTCACGCATTTCTCAGACCGGTCAATTTACAATTAAATGGTTACTGCTCAATACGAATATCGTGTTATGTACACCAATTAACATATTTGACTTTATGGTGCTGGATAGTTACACAGACCGTAATCACTTTATCAACATACATCATGTATGACGATGACTGATACTTACTTCAAACCACCAAGATTTTATATGTAGATGGAGCTGATAAGCCATCTCAAATCATTGTGCACCCTGTGTGGAAGTCACAAAATTTAAACAAGAACCACAATCGAAACTTCATAATAAAATCCAAATAGCAGCAACTACAACAACAAAAACAACAGTAACAAAGAGCCTCCATAATTAGTTGGTGTTGCCTAAATGAAACCAAGACAAACTATAATACATTCATAACCTACAACAATAAGTAAACCTCTTCAGTTATGGCACATGAAAGATGCCCCCCTACACACTCCTATTGATGTACACCACTCATGCAAATCTCAATTCACCACTTTATACATGTCCATCTTGGTCAACCTCTACCTCTCCTAATGAACTCGTCTTCATATAATTATCCTCTAATTCATGCACTCTAAGCTCTATAGTGGAAACGACCAAACCACCTCAAACATTATTGCCTCGCCGCCTCCTCTTTTCAACTTGTTCCACTCCAAACTTCTCTATACAAGGTCATATCTAATCCTATACCTTACTGTATGGCCACACATCCATCTTGACTTTTTGCATTTTTGCTACAAACCATGGGTACATGATGACTTTTGGATCAGGCATTTTTCCCTATAAATCAAATAGCACATACTTTCTAGCCGTAATAGGACATGTCGAACAGACAAGATTCCTAAAGTCTGAACCATTTCAACCATCTTGTTGTTAATTGTTATCCTATGACTAATGTTCTCATGAATGTCTCAGTAAAACTAATCCAAATAAGGAATTATTTCCTATACTTTGTCGTGTTTTAATATAATCCAACGCTTTTAGATTCCAAAGTGTTGCTCTGAACCTCTAATTTTGCATTAACACCTTGTCTAGTTTCATCAATCAACATTATATCATCAACAAAGAGCATACAACATTGTATATCATCTTGCAAGTCTTCTGTGAGCTAAATCATAACTAAAAGGAATAGATAAGGATCCGAAGATAACCTGTGGAGTAAACCTATAGCAATGAGGAAAGCATAAGTCTCATGTTTGCATGCTTTCATGCCTGTTATCAGACAGCCATACATGTCTTTAATCACACTAACATACATGGTCAAGAATTCCTTCTAAAAAACCCTATCATATCATGTCTTTTCTAGATAAACAAACTTTATATGCAAATCTTTATATCCCCTATATTTCTCTGTAAGTCGTCTAATGAAGATAGTAATCTTTTTGTTGAGTCCATAAAGCAAATTAACTTTTCGAAACCTTAGACTCAACCCTCCACAGATGCTTAACAACTTGCTCCTATAGTTTTCTTTGTACAGATCCAAAGTTGATAGTTGGTACAATTCTCGACTTCTCCTTATTCTGTAGACGAAGGTAATATTCCTTCACTCATTACACAACCTCTTTGTTTTGGAGAGGACATTAACAATCAAGTAAGTCATATTATACCTACCTCCCTTGAGGCTCTCCAAGCCTCTAAAGAAATATAATTAGCCTGACTCATTACCTACTTTCATCTTTCTTAGTGCTTTTGACTTCTAACACTAATATGTACAACCTTCTATTAGCATAGTTCCTCGATGCTCCTTTAATATATCCATTCAACAAAGTATCAAAATAGTCTCTCCATTGCTCTCTAACCTCATCATCTTTAACTAAAAGTTAGATGGGACTTAAGCCACTGTTTTCTCTCTCTTATCTTAGCAACTTGTATAGGTCCTTTTTCTCCCTCTTGGTGTCTCTATAGTGTTGTACAACTCTTTGTATTTTTACCTCTGGCTTCTCTTATTATTCTCTTGGCTTTCTTCTTTGCTAGTTTATACGTTGTTATGTACTCTACAGTTTTACCTATAGAAGTTTATATAATCCCTTCTTCACCTCATTCTACCAAAAAGCATTTTTACCCTATTGCCTTGATTTGAACAAAGCTTCCATTATACAATTGATTTGAAGAACTTATACAATCCCAGCAATCTTTAATCCAGCAACATATTTAACTTTCAGAGATCCGAATCCCCCGAAACACTATAGTTACCTTATATTGCAACTTCAAGTCAACAACTATTAGTACTCCTACTGTTACCAAACATAACATAAATCTCACAATCTTTCATCAAGATTTAACATGACAGAAGTCATGAATTAGATCTACACAACAGGAGAAGATGATTAATTCTCAAGTAACAAGAAATGAGAGAGGGTTGACTAACTTTTCACGGAAATAGGCAATGGGAGCGAGGATAGAGAGGGCAACGATATCACGATACACACAGAAAACAATCTCGTTGACTCCATCATTGAGAGCTACTTTGGTGATCACATGATATCCTCCATATAACAATTGAACCAACGCCATTGCTGCGTGTGCCTTCCATGCTTGTCCTCCAGCAACAGCAACAACACCACCGCCACCGCCGTCCCCTAAGGCCATCCTCGTCTCACGCAGAATAATTTACAAATTTGTTGATGTATGTAAGAAATCAGCAGCTTCAATTTCAAGCAATTCGAAAAATGTGTGGTGAATTGTTAGTTGGGTTTGAGAGAGTCGTCCATTTTTGGAGGTTTCCACTAAACAAAGATTATCTGTTCGAAATTTGACCGGTGGCAAGTGGGACCCATCCCTAAGATCATCTCCAACACGACAAACGAAATTTTATTACTAGATGGAGATAAAGGTGGAGTTGGAGATCGGTATGGTCGACTCCGTTTGCCATCGCTACGCCCTATTCATCTCCATCTTCATCTTTATCCTGCAACCCCAAATCTCCTCTCCGACCTCCACCTACCATCTTCATCCAACACCGTCCAAACCCTCCGAACAAAAACCATCCACCGTCCAGACCCTCTTCCTTCCACCTCCATTCCTTCCCTCAGGCCAAAGTTTAAAATCAAATCTACATGCAATTATAAACGGGTGTCATTCGTCGGTTAAATATTTCGATTTATTTGGTTCGCGACAGGGCGTATAGAAATTTTGTTGATTGGTTATAGCCAGGGCCTTTTATGGGTCGGTATGATTTGAAAAAGATTTGAATAATCCGATCCAATTGATATTTTGATACATTAAAATATTATTTAAATTTTGAAAATGTTAATTTTTTATTTATATTTTCTTTTTCATCATTAACTATTTGATACAACTTATTCATATTTTTACGTATATCACATTTAGTTAATTTTTTCAATTTACATATATATGTTCACAGTTACTAAACATATATATGAATGGAATATATAAAGATGTGAATATATTGAAAATATGTGTATATGAAAAGTATATATGATAGTATAATTGTCTAATGTATATATTAATAGAAATTCAACAATCATATTAAATCAAAGAAATAAAAAGATATCGGTTTCATCGGGTTGAGTTCAAATAATAGTAACTCATATTAACCCAATACCTATGGTTGACAATTTTACAACTCGATTAAACATCGGGTTGCTTCGGGTTGGGTTGAGTTGGGTTGATCGGATTTTTGAGCACCTCTAGTTAGAGCTACTTAATCCGTCCAATCTGTCATCACGCTGCTAAAATATATTTTTTATAAAATTATATATATATATATATATATATCTATACTATATTATAAAGCATTTGGCTAAAACTCTTAAACTCTTAAAACTCTTAAACCCGTTCATCCCTAAACAATTTCATCCCTATCCGATTTTATCCCATAACTGAATTCGTGTAACTAACTGCAGATAAACACAATCAAATACAGGATAAACATCTCAT